GGCACACTCACAGCCACCCCAGCGTCAACCTGCTGGGCTCCAGCGATCCTTCCGTCTCAGCCTTCCCAGTAGCCGGAATGGCAGGCGCACACTACCACGCCCAGCTCAGTTTTTGGTTTATTGTAAAGACAAGGTCTTGCCAAGTTGCCCAGGCTGGTCTTGAACCTGCGGTCTCAGGCAATCCACTCGCCTCGGCCTCCCAAAGTCCTGGAATGACAGGCTGAACCACCAAGCCCGCCCTCCACATAGCCTTTCAATGTTCACAGGCAGTTTTGTCAAATACTCACTGGGAGAATCTTCCAAGTGCCTGTGAATTGTGTCCCATAATTCTTTCCTCTCGTCCCTGCTACCATGTTTGCTCTTAACTTGCCACTTAGAGGTGCCTTCTCCCAAGCCAGCAATTTGGAACAGCTTTGTTGCATTTAGTTCTAAATCTGTGGCAGTTAGAAAGGAAATGACTAAAAGATAATGCTGGACTGCAAGGTGATGTTTAGCTTTCTGCCCACAAAGCAGATGCTCTTTGTACTACTTAACATGGACTAGCTTGTGCCCACGGAGCCACACTCTTCGTGTCTGCCAAGAGCCGAGGAACTCTGAATCATGGCAAAGGAAGAATTCCCAAGTGCTTGTTTCTTCCTTTTTGGCCTGCGACCGCCTGATGGACATTCGAGAATGATCTAGAGGCAATGGCCGAAATCCTGATAGTGAAATAATTCACTGAGTAAGAAACACGAGCATGTACTCCCAAGGTCCACCCACCTTGAGCAGGTACCAAGAAGGGAGGAGAGCCAGGGGCTGCCGTTTCAAGGTTATGGTCTCCAGCCAGATAGACTCATGCCAAGACAGCAGAGAACCCAAGGAGGGCAAGCAGCACAGCCCACTCTTGCTGGCTTAATGAGAAAAGACATTTGTTAAAGCTTTGGGTAGATCACAGAACTTCTGGGAGGATGAGGCTTGCAGCCAGAACAGTGCCAGAGCCATGTGGTGTGACTGTTTCAGGGATACCCATGCTGCCCCCCAGAGCAGCTGCCTCCTCTGTGACCTCCTTTGGTCAGAAAAAAGCCCCTGCCTCTTTTTTTTTTTTCTTTTGAGTCAGAGTCTCACTCTGTTGCCTAGGCTGGAGTACAGTGGTGAGCCCACAGCCACTACAGCCTTGACCTGCTGGGCTCAGGCGACCCTTCCATCTCAGGCTTCCAAGTAGCTGGAACTACAGGCACGCACTACCATGCCCAGCTTATTTTTTGATTTATTGTAGAGACGAGGTCTCACCAAGTTGCCCAGGCTGGTCTTGAACCCCTGAGCTCATGCAATCCTCTCGCCTCAGCCTCCCAAAGTGCTGGGATTACCGGTTTGAGCCACCACTCCCAGCCAGCCCCTGCCTGTTTATGCTGCTGACTTCCAAATCAGAATTCAGCATGAGAGTGTCAGATTAGCAAAGCCAAAGTCCTTCCCCCCTCCATCTTAGCTGCAAGAGAAGCTGGGAAAACCTGTGATGTGGGAACAACCCCAAAGGAGGAAGGCTGTTTCAGAAGATGCCAGGTTGGTTATGAAACCTCATCTGCCCATGCTAGCCATCCAACCGGGCCCAGCCTCAATTTTATCTCTTCCAAGAAGAATGCTCCCACTGAACTCCACAAGCTATCATCAGGGACACAACACATGCAGTGTGTACTCAGATTGCCAGGGCCATTCCCTTTCAGCAGTGTTCACACCATAGCCCTTTTAAAATCTTCTGACTCCCCACACCCCCAACTTCTGTGGTTGCTCTCAGATCTTTTTTGTTTCTTTGATTTTGTTTTTGCATGGAAACTCCAGATCTCATAGGTCTCACCTTTGCTATATTTCTTTTTCCTCTCTGGCACAGAGGTCTGTTTCCCTGCACCCTCCCCTAAAACAAACAAACAAACAAACAAAAAACCTGTAAATTCCTTAAGGACAGGAGCCATGTCTTTTTTTTTTTTTTTTTTTTAACCTCCCGCAGTGCAAGTGGCTAAGCATATAGTGGCTGATCAATAAATATTTTCTGATTACTTATGGTTAGTTATCTGAATTGATGGTTTTCAAAAGGATTTTGGTAGTATCTATTTTTAAAATAGTTAACAAGGAATAAATAGAACAACAACAAAAATGAAACAGGGTCGTGGATCAGAAGAGACCCTGAAGTGCATCTTCATTTTAGTTATTGATCCAACCTCTGTATGGAGTGCCTACTTTATGTCAGGCACTATTCTATATGTTTGAGACACATGAATGAAGAACAAAAGAGCCAGACAAAGTGACTATCTCAAAGCTTCCATCTGGTAGAGGCAGGTGCTTAATAAACATATACTTTATAAGCATGTTATAGTTGATAAATATTATATAAAAAGAAAAAAGTTATATTTTTACAATTCTGATCTTCCCATCTTAACATTTTAGATGGGAAGATTAAAATTGTAAAAATAGAATTTTTAGACAATCAGAAAATTGAATACATGCTGGATGTTAAAGGATATAAACAGACTGTTACTGTGGTATGATAATGGTGTTTTGGTGGTTTAAAAAATACTTATCTGTTGTAAACTGAAATATTTATGGAACAGTTATATAACCTAATATGATATCTAGGATTTTCTTCAAAATTTTCCAGCAGAAAAATGGGAAGGAAGGAGGAAGGAGAGAGAGAGAGGGGAGGAGGGAAAGAAAGAGGAAAGGAAACTGAAAGGGTGATGAGAAATGAAACAAGAATGGCAGAAAGTTGAGACTATTTCAAATGTATTGATCAGTCAGGTGGGCAGGGTGGGTTCCTCATGCTATTATTTCTACTTTTACATGGTACTGTAATTTGAATGATTGTATCTCCCCAAATTCACATGTTGAAGTCACACCCAAGGTAATGGTACAAGGTGATATGAGGACTTTGGGAGATGATTAGGTCTTGAGGGTGGAGTCCTCATGTATAGGACTCATGCTCTTATCAAAGAGGCCCCAAAGAGACACCTGGCCTTGCCCTTTTTACCATGTGAGGATGACAAAAAGGTGCCTTCTGTGAACTAGAAAGCGAGCCCTCGCCAGACCCCAAACCCGTCTTGTTCTTGGACTTCCCAGCCTCTAGAACTGTGAGAAATACAGTTATGTTGTTTATAAGCTACCCAGGTTATAATACATTGTTATAGCAACCCAAATGGACTAAAACATATGTGTTATTAAATTTCCATGATAAAAAAGTAACTGGTGATATAGCTTCATTGAGGAGGTAACACTGAAACCAAGACTTAGGGAGCTGAAGGAGTGACCTTCAAGGATGGGCATTGGGGGAGACCGTCCCAGGCAAGGGCACATCAGTGCAATGGGGGCTTCCTTGCAAGTCTGCCCAAGGAAAGTCTAGGAAGTGAGAAAAGGGATGAGGGACAGGTAGAGATCACACAGGGCCTCTTAAGTCACTGTGAGGATTCCAGTGAAGGTTTCATTCACAAGGGCTGTAAAGACATTGCTTCAGAATCATGCTCAAGTGAATTTTTCTTGGGAGTTTGTTGAGGTCTTCAGATACTGGGGGTTTCTTTACTCAGGTTCTGAGAACAGTGCTGTCCAGTGGAACATTTATGATGATGGAAATGTCCTACCTGTGCTCTCTAGTGTGAAACCCGCTAGCCACTTGTGACTGTTGAGCACTTGAAGTGTGCCTGGTGTCACTGAGGAGCTCAATTTTTAAATCAATTTAATGTTAATTAATATAAATTTAAATATATATACCCACATGTCTTGTGACGTGCATATCAAATAGTGCTGTATTAAGAGATGGTTAGTTTCACTCCAGTATTTATTTTACAGACTTTATTGAATACCTGCTGGCTCTAGACATCATCTAGGCACTATGATCATAAAGTGATTTTTTTAAAATGAGGCCTCTACTCCTGAGGGGTCATAGGGGTCATAGGCCACATCAGACACAATAATTCAGTGGGGCGTGAGTGGCCTGAACCTTTATTCTTTGAGCACAAGGATCTCTGTGCTGAGCTCCCTCCATGAGGGTTTTTATTCAGTTTAAGCAGCCAGGGGGTTCTCATTGCAGGGTAGCTTTTAGATGATACCTCCGCAAACAGACGGCCCCCTGGCCTTCCAGTTGAAAGTAGGTTTCTCGTGCTGCTTTGTGGTGCACAGTTTTCCTTTGGGGCCCTTCTGCCAGTTGGGAATGACACTTTACTTCATATGTAAAGCTCATGGCTCTTCAAGGTCAGATGGCTGGTCTCCATTGTACCCCCACAGTCAGCAAACGATGAGAGGGGACGGAAATGGAAGAGGACAGAGTCTGTGTGTGTGTGCAGAGAGCTTGGAGGGGAAGGAAGAGTTGGTGAGTCAGTCAGGAGCTGTTTCTTGAATCAGCCTTGCCTAGGACTTTCAAAGGAATAACAGGAATTAGCAACAGGAAAGAGAAGGTGTAGAAAAGCATTCCCTTGAAAATTGAGAAACCACAGCAGAAAGGAACAGGAAGGGAGGAGTCAGAGGCAGGTGTGGGGTCAGATAGGCCTGGCTGGTGGATGCCCAGGGTGCCTGGGATGGATCTTATCCCCCAGGGGTGACAGCCCTTTTCTTCAAAGGGCCAGAAGTGCCTAGTTTTGTGGTAACTTCTGAATTCAGCCGTTGTAATGTAAAATGAGCCCACAGATAATATGCAAATGATGAGTGTGGCTGTGTTCCAATAAAACTTTATTTGTGGGCACTGAAATTCAAATCCCAGGTCATTTTCATGGGCTGTACAAAAACAAGCCACAAGCTACATCTGACTGCAGAGACAGCCTACAATTACCACCCTCTGCTACATAAGAGGACACCAAAGGGTCCAAGGGAGACAGTAAGCTGAGTATTCTGGATAGCTCCCTCTAGCCTCAGTGGGACCTTAGGGCTCAGATCTGAAGAATGTGACAGTCTTTGTGAAGACAGCAAGCGGCAATCTGAGTGATGGATGGCGGGGCCCGAAAACAGGGCAGTGTTAACAAGGACACAGAATGGCTTGCCTTAAGATGGAGCGTTCGTATCCAAATGAGCAGGACTTGGTGATGAATGTGCAGGGGAAGGAGCAAAAGATTGGTGTCCCAGTTTCGGGTTAGCAGAATTTTCAGGAGTCCCAACTCAGCAGGGCCCTTTATACTCTCTGACAAACCAAAGAATTTTTGTATGTCTTCATGACTATTTAGGTCTGGTGCTAGTAACTAGTGGCTCACCTAGTCTTAAGCCTACTCCCTTGGTGATCATTGAGTAAGAATAGTTTTGTTTGCTTTTGAATGAAGAGTCTAATTCTAAGCATCATTCTGTGAAAATAATACCCCAGTGGTCTGTAAGAGTTACCCAACCATACTGACATTTTGTGCTCTTATCATACCAAAAGAAGGAACTAAATCTCTTTCAAAGTATTTAATTGCAGAACTTAAACTAGGCTCCCATATGAGAAGAAATTCAAGTGGTAGAATCTAGGACATTGATTAGAGGAGAAACTCCCTCTTCCTCTGTCTATTCATAATTTTTCCCCAGATCTCAGCAGTTTTTGCCTTCTCAGCAAACAGCGGAGAGAGATCAGAAACCTTGTGATCCCTATTGTGAGTAAATGTTGCATTAGCATAAAATTACATAAGTCATCAGTACAGGCTTTCTGCTATGTGGCTATTAATGCAAGCTGACTTAATTTATGTTATAATTCAGTATACTACTTGGAGACCGAGGAAGACCAAGTTAAATTAGAAAATGTGTGTGTGTCCTGCAAGTTTATAATGAGGTAGTACTGCTAAGATTGGAGTAGATTGACTCAAAGTGTTTTGTTATAGTCTTGATGTTCATGATGTTGATTTATCCCTTTTTTTTGGTATTAGTTTTCTCCTCCTATAGGATTGAAGTAGCCAAGGTCAGCTTCTGTAGCATTTATCTTTTCTTTCTAAAACATACTGTAGAATTTATTTGGTGCACATCTGTGTACCTAGGTCTGCGATTCCTGACCACAGATTATCTGAGGTCACCTACTCAAGAAATTTATTAAATCAGTATGTGACAAAATGGATGAGAAAAGGATTGATAACTGAAATGTGCAGTATTGAAAAGGTTGCTTTTGTATCATGAGACAAATAGTTGGCAAGTTACCTGTGTGGAGGTTCTTGGACCAAAAGAAATTCATCTCAGTGTGGTTGCTCTGGCGTAGGACAGAACTTTGGATGTGAGGGTTCTAATAGTCCTTGAGAGGGTTGCCTCCTCATCCCTTGTGTTTTATATATCTCTCTTTCCCGCCTCTTCATCCCTTATGTTTTATATATTTCTCTTTCCCAACTCCCTTCTTTGAGCCCTGACCCGGGTCCACACCAGCATTGTCTCGGAATGCTCGCAAGCATCATCATTGGAATAGCACAATCACTGTGTGCAGTTAAAACTCCAGGTAGGGAGTGAAAGCTGGCCTGAGTAAATAAAAAGTAGCCATTCCGTTTTAATGTTTTTAATGTTTTTAAAATGTGGATCTTTCCCTTTCCCATGTCTGTCATGTCTTTTTGTCAGTGTTCCTAACTCAGCTTCATCTCTTTTCAAATGTTTGCTTTTTATTTTTTTCTTCTTCTAAGCTTCTCCTGTCCTACTCTGTGCGTCATCCCTTTTAAAGACATTTTATACTGTTTTTCAATCTAGTTTGTTTTGGTTTTTGTTTTTTGAGTTGGGGTCTCACTCTGTCACCCAGGTTGGAATGCAGTGGCACGATCGCGGCTCGCCGCAGCCTCAACCTCCTAGGCTCAGGGGATCATCCTGTCTCAGGCCTCCGAGTTGACTGGGACTTCAGGCACACACCACCATACCTGGCTATTTATTTATTTATTTATTTATTTGAATCGGAGTCTCACTCTGTCGCCGAGGCTAGAATGCAGTGCCACACTCACAGCCACCCCAGCCTCGACCTGCTGGGCTCCGGCGATCCTTCTGCCTCAGCCTTCCAAGTAGTTGGACCTACAGGCACACGCTACCACACCTTACTAATTTTTTTTTAATTGTAGAGACGAGGTCTCACCAAATTGTCCAGGCAGGTCTTGAACCCATGGGCTCAGGTAATCCACTTGCCTTGGCCTCCCAAAGTCCTGGAATTACAGGCTGAGCCACCGAGCCTGGCCTATTTATTTATTTTTAATAGAGATGAAGTCTCACTGTATTGCCCAAGTTGGTCTCAAACTCCTGGACTCAAGCAATCCTCCTGCCTCAGCCATCAAAGTGCTGGGATTATAGGCATGAGACACTGTACCCCACCAGTCTAGTCTTTTTGATTACCAACATAGCAGTCCTAGGTGACTTCTGACCTTGTTTACCAGGACTGTTAAGAAAGCAGCGACAGATCTCACACCCCACCGTGTCCCTACAGCAGCTCCAGCAGTCATGGTTTTGAAAAAAATACGAAATTATGTGAAGTAAAAAGAGACCTCTAAAAAGAAAATGTCCTTGGTTAAATGTATCCACATTTAACATGTAGAGCTAAATGTTCTTAGCATGGTCCATCACAGTCATAGCAGCATGTACGTGGATGCTTCCTGACTCACAGCAGCTGCTCTGTGTTGTGTTTTATTTCCAGAGGTCACCCTGAAAGTACACATCAGCGACGCCAGCACCCATCAGCCCGTGGCGGATGCGCTCATTGAGATCTTCACCAACCAGGTCTCCATTGCCTCTGGCACCTCAGGAGCTGATGGTGTCGCCTTTATCAAGTTCCAGTATAAACTGGGCAGCCAGTTGATCGTCACAGCCTCGAAGCATGCCTATGTGCCAAACTCCGCCCCATGGAAGCCGATCCGGCTGCCTGGTAAGGCACTCTCCGTCATCTTTCTCCAGCACAGAGAGCGTGGTATAGACGAGTCAGGGTGGAGTCAGACCCAGAAATGGTTTGGAAAGTGCACGTCAGACCATCAGTGAAATATGGATACTTACTCTCTGTTTTACTTTTCGGGGTTCCCTTACACAAAGACAAGTGAGGGTCAAAGTGTGAAGCTGGGTGGGGCTCTCCCCAATTATATGCACACAGTGGATTCCCAAACTTTCGAGTTTCTGCTCATTTTCCCAATGCTCTGTTGATACCTTATTGACTATGACTGGTAGGGGAGGTCTGGGCAGGGCTTCAAGACACAGCCTCCTTCTTCTGCTTCATGGGTCTCTGCCTCGGTGGTCATGGTAGAGGCCCAAGAGCAAGGATGTCCAAAGATACAGAAGTAGCTGAGAGGCTTTCTCTTTCCCCCTTCCTGCTGGTTACCACTTCAAAGCAGCCTGTCTCCTAAAAGGAGCAAGAACTGTTTGTTCCTGACACAGATCAGCTAGGGATGGGTGGGGGCAACAGGTGGAACCCGCTTCTGTCCTCTCACTCAGGCTCATCTAGTACCTGGAACATATTCTCTGTCAGCACCAGGGTCGGGTGAGCAACAAGGCTGGGCTGAGAGTTGAGAGAGGGTGCTGCTGGGGTCTAGGGATGTGTAGCCTTGGAAACTGACTGTCCTGGATTCTGATCACCAATCTGTGATTGAGCCCATGCTTCAATGCCAATCTCTGTAAAATCGAGCTAAGACTACCTTTGCAGAGTAGTTTTGATTAAAAATTATTTACATATGTCAACGACCTCACAGCACCTAAAACACAATAGGTGCTCAATAACTGTATAGCACCACACACAGTGCCTGGCAAAATACCATGTTAGTATTCATCTCTGTCCCAGAATACAACTTGTCACCTTCCCTCGGAGACTCTGCTGCCTCTGGAAATATGTGACTGTTCCTGAAAGTGTTTTCTCTGTCTTATAAAGTCCCAGTGTCTACCCAAATTCATAGAATCCCTTTAGTTCAATTCACTTTTATTAAGTACCTACTGTGTACCTGGCACTGTCCTGGATGCTGAGAGTACAGGTCTAGAGACACAGATCGAGCCCCTAGAAAGTTTATAGTTTGGTTATGAAGTCAGCCCCAGAAGCAATTTCCATCTCACAGGGGAAGTGTTCCGATAGACCTGTGGATAGATGTACTTATAGGGGACGGAGGGAGGATGTGTCGCCAGCCTAGGTGAGTGAAGGAGGGTTTTCTGGAGGGGGAATAAGCAGGGAGCTGAGCCTTGAGAACAGATATCAGCATCTGAAGGTGCTCATAAAAATACATTTCCTAGGATTCAACCAGTCAATCTGGGGAGGTGGGTTCAGGAGTCTGCATTTTAGCAAGCAGCCCCCTCCCCCAGCCGCCACTGCCAGATACTTATGGATAACAATGTTCACCAAAGTTGAGAGCACTACTTTGTGAGCCATGGAAGTGGATTTGATATAAGATTCAGTGTGGAGGAGATCATTTAGGAAAGTCTTAGAGAAAAGGTGATAAACATGAGAACTATTTAGCAGGCAAAAGCCAAATGGCCTCGAAGAATAGCCTGGCCAGAGGTGTGGGGAAAGTGGATGGAAGGAATGCAAATGGAGCCTTTGGTTTCTGGCTGCTGGTAAAATGGACGGTCCTCACAGGGGAAAGCCATGCAGTTGGGGGACCAACCATACCACCATTTCCTAAAGTTGGTTCAACTGACGGAGTGGATTAAAGAAGTTTCTTTGTTCCCTTCCTCCCTCCACGTGTGCTTCCCTGTCCCCAAGCTTCAGGCTCAGGCAAGGAGGGATGGAGGCCAGGAAATGGGAGGAGGGAAGAACAGGTGTTGGGGTCGTAGGTGATGATAAGCTTAGTGTAGAGTGTGTTTGGTTTAGACTGTCTCTGGGACACCAAGGGAGCTTATTTGGCCTTTAGTGCCCAGTGAACTTGGGGTTCAAGGGAGAGGTGTGGGCTACAGGTTTAGTTTGGGTCATCGGCAGTGTTAAGGTGACAGTCCAAACTCTGAGCTGAGCCAGAGTAGAACCTCTGTGGGCCTGAGGCAGGACCTCAGCAAGGTCAGCACAATCGGAAAGGTGGCTTTACCGGGAAGCATCTGAAGGAAACATTTGACCTCCAGTTTTCCATGCTGAGAAGTCACTGGAAATAACCCAGGAAAGTCTAGACAGTATCTGCCTGTTTGGGGAGAACAGTCACAACAAAATCCAGTTGTTTCTCAGTATTCACAGTCTTTATGGTCGCTTGTGTTGCCGAACACAGAGTTAGCACATACCAAACCCCTGCTCCAAGGGAAATACAGGGCTGGGCTCCTGTGAGCCTCTGGTCACAGCAGTTTCATCAAATGATCAATCCATACCTTTGTTTTATGTGTGTTTCTGTTTAAAGGCACCTCATTTTCTATATATTGTCGATACATTCACATTAAACTCTCGGCCCACAGCACCACCATTCATGCCTGAACAGAGCTATTGAACACAGATTTTCTCCATAAGGCACATCACAGCCGCCTCATGCTTAGGAATGCTAGACAGTCCTTCAGCACTTCACATGGGGCTGCTGAAAGTAGTGAAATCACACACACATACAGTCCCAGCTGCTTGGGAGGCAGGGGCAGGAAGATCAGTTGAGGCCAAGAATTTGAGACCAGCCTAGGCAACATAGTGAGACACCATCTCTACAAAAAAATTTAAAAATATAGCCAGGTGTGGTGATATGCACCTGTAGTCCTAGCTACTTGGAAGGCTGAAGCAGGAAGATCACCTGAACCCAGGTGGTCACAGCTACAGTGAGCTATGATGGCACCACCATATGCCAACAAGGGTGAGAGAGTAAGACACAGACTCCAAAAAAAATTTTTTTTTTAAAATATGAAAAAAGTCATCCATCCACTAAAGACTATCATTCATTCTACATCTTTTTTTTTTTCTTGAGTAGGAGTCTCACTCTGTCTCCCATGCTGGAGTGCAGTGGCACACTCATGGCCACCACAGCCTCGATCTGCTGGACTCAGGTGATCCTTCTGTCTCAGCTTTCCAAGTAGCTGGAACTACAGGCATGAGCTACTACACCCGGCTAGTTTTTTGATTTATTGTAGAGACAAGGTCTCACCAAGTTGCCCAAGCTTATCTCGAACCACTGAGCTCAGGCAATCCTCCCACCTTGGCTTCCCAAAGTGCTGGGATTACAGGCTTGAGCCACTGCACCCAGTCTCATTCTGCATCTTAATCGTTGCCAACTCTAAAGCCTTTGCCCTAGGCCAGGTCCTTGGCAATGGTCTAGGGCTATGGCAGCAGCCTCCGGCCAGATTAGTCTTTTCCTTCAGACTACCTGCTACATTGCTACACATTAGTGTCTTAAAATATGTGCACTTACGTCATACATCTGCCTGAAGCCCTTCTGTGGCCTCAGGATGAAATACAAATGACACACAGTGCCTTCTCCCCCAGCTACCTCTCCCTTCCAAATCTCGTGGTCTGTCACCCTGGGAAATGTGTTATCCTCTGAAGGATTCTGGCATTTTACCTTCTCCGTGTCATCTGCGAAGTTATTCATCGACCATTATTCCTTGGCAGACTTGTCTTCTGTTCCATAAAGTCCAGCTGGACTGTTTTCTACTCCAAGAAATCTTCCTGCCTTTCCCAGGTAGACTGAGATGTTCCTTTCTCTCTGTATGTCAAAAAACAAACGGGCTGGCCTCAGTGGCTCGGCCTGTAATCCCAGCACTTTGGGAGGCTGAGGCAAGTGAATTGCCTGAGTCCGGGCAACTTGGCAAGACCTCATCTCTACAATAAAAAAACAAAAATTAGCTGAGCGTGGTAGTGAATGCCTGTAGTTCTGGCTACTTGGAAGGCTGAGGCAGAAGGATCACTGGAGCCCAGCAGGTTGACTCTGGGGTGGCCATGAGTGTGCCACTGCACTCCAGCCTGGGCAACAGAATGAGACTCCAACTCAAAAAAAAAAAAAAGTCTCCTTGGTGGGGAGAGAACTTTGGGACATTTTTCAGCATCCCTTCTGTGGTGGGTAAAAGTGCCTTCTGCTCAGAGATCTCTGCTGCCTCCACCCACCTAGGTACTGGGTTGATTGCATCCTTAGTCCCTCTGCCCCAGGAAGCCCCTGCCAGTGCCTCTGCCACCACATGGCAGTCTCATTAAAATGAATCATTTTTTCTCCTTTAAGCAAAAAGATTTGAGAGACTGGTTGCCAGAGCAGCCTCCTTATATATGGAAGTATCAAGTGTTCCGGGTGAGAAAAGTTTCAAAATGTGCTGTGATGGTCACACAATTCTTGGGGAATGATCACAGGTGATTTCAGAGTTCAGAGCCCCCCACACTGGTTAGCACAGAGGCAGATACTCAGAGCCTAGTGAATGCCTGCAGATTCTGCAGGTGCTCTGGAATGGAGCAGGACAGTCTGGGTATCAGCACTTAGGTGGTGTGGGGTGTAACGCTTGCCTGGTTTTGGAGGTGAGCTGCTTCCTACAGGTAGCATCTGTTACGACAGTCCTGTCTTTTCTTCCTGGCCATAAGGTGCCTTTGCCATTAGTTGAAATGGTCCCTGTTAAAGGTAGGTTTACCTTTGAAGTGACCATGCAGGATTTACCCAATTAGGGTTCCCTCTTTAGACCTGGCTCATCCCTGGTATCCACTGGCTAATTCCAGAATATCTCATCACCCCAAAAGAACTCTGCATTCATTAACACGGACTGTTTTCCACCTCTCCCAGTCCCTGGCAACCACTAACTACTCTGTCTCTCTAGATGTGCCTATTCTGGATATTGCATATAAGTGGAGTCATAGAACATGTGGTTTGGTTTTTTGTGCCTGGCATCTGCCACTCAGCATAATCTTTTCAGGGTTCATTCATACTGTAGCATGGATCAGCACTCATTCCTTTTTATGGATAAGTAATATTCCTTATGTGACTATACCACATATTATGCACTCAGCAGTGGATAGACATTTGAGTTGTTTCTACTTTTTGGCTATTATAGAGAATGGTGCTAGGAACATTCATGGACATGATTCTGTGTGAATCTATGTCTTCAGTTCTCTTGAATTTATAGCTAGGAGTGGAATTTCTGGGTCATGGGGTCACTCTGTGTTTAATATCTGAGGAACTGCCAGACTGTTTTCCCCAGCACCAAGGTGCATTCTTATCTTTTTCCTGGTACTTGCTGTATTCTACTTGTCATACAACCATTTATTGTGAGTCCTAGTCCCCTTCTAATGCCTGACCCTTGAAGGTACAGGCTGCTTCTGACATGTGTCTGTCCCACCCAGGATCTAGCCCTGGGCCTTGTGTATAGTGCAGCTAATAAATAAGTTGACTGTGTGGATGGTGAGTGAAAGTAGATCACATCCAAGGGCAACTCACCAGTTCTCTATCACACTATTAAGAGCCAGCACTGTGAAGTAATTGATACTCTTACCACTTGACCTTTCTAGTTACTGATATTTTTCCAGAAAGTCGCTTTACTCTCTCAGTCAACCTTTCTATATCACATAGTGGTTGAGTTCAAATCCTTGCTCCAGCATTTATTAGCTGTGGAATATTGGACAAGTTACTTCCTCATCTATGAACCTGTTTTCCTACCTGTAAAATGGGCATGTTAATACCTAGAGTTGTTTTGAGACATAAATAAATTACTGAAATCAAAGCACTTAATGTCTTGTTTATTTTAGTGGTTATTATTTTATAATGTATATTTGTCTTTCTCTTCTTAAATTCTTATGTTCTACCCAGAAACTCGTAGGTTTTGTGAAATTTGTAGTTGGAAGTTCAAGTACCTAAGAATTTTAAAATAACATTTTTTATCATGTTACTAGTTCCTATGACTGGGGTGGGAGATATTCTTTTGCCATGAGGCACTTATTAACCTAAACACATATTTTTAAAGCCTGTCTTAATGTTAATATCTAACATTATATATTCTATATGCATACAGTATATACATTATAACTTTTAATATACTCCTAATGTGAAGAGGCTAAGTTACTTTACTAAAAACTTCTAGCAAATTAAAAAAAAAGATGACTCTTGTAGGGCAAGTGGTTGTTATATGAAAAATCACCATACTTTTGTGGTGTTTTGAAGATCTTTTGCTAATCATGCTAAAAATCTATCTTATTGATTGATTTGAAATCAGAGAACACAAAAAATGCAGAGTTCCCCCCAAAAATCAGAGTGGGCATTTAGTTAAATGTCACCGTTCCCTTATATCTGTTTTTGTTCCTGTAGTATTTTCTTCTCTGAGTCTTGGCCTGCTTCCAGAACGATCTGCGACTCTAATGGTTTATGAAGATATTGTCCAGATAGTATCAGGATTCCAAGGTATGTCTAATATACTTTTTGGTTTTTGTAATTACTACTAATGTTATTTTTGATTGACAAATTATATACAGTTATGGGGTACAATGTGATGTTTTGATGTATGTATACCAGGTGGAATAGTTAAGTGAAGCTACATAATAAGTTTATCACCTTGCTTACCTATCATTTTTTATGGTGAGACATTTGAAATTGACTCCCTTAGTTATTTTGGCATGTTTAATATTTAAAAAAAAGAAGCAGCGATCACTTTTGGGCCAACTGCTAAAAGCTTATACGGGGCTCACTTGTCAGACAGTGGTTGCAGTGAATTTATCCACACCTAGGACACAATGGCTGTTGTCCCTGTGTGGACACAACACGTTTGAAATTTGATTAAATTATTGGTCAGTGGTAATCTTATTTCTTTAGACTCATCCTTTAAGTATATGACAAAAAAGAAAAAGAAAGAGCTGCCCATCACCCCCTTCCTCTCTAAAGAAGAAAATGTTAATCTTGCTTGGATCAGAGTCCAGGGCACTGCTCAGATCCCATTTACGAGGGGACAGGTCACTCTCGGAGACTAATAAGCTTGCGAATGTGGCTTTTTCCTCTCTCCTGCCCCCTTGTTTCTTTAATCTGTCTCACTGTCATGATGTCTGCAAATGCGATCTCACCCCTTCTGACTCCCATTGCTCTCACAGACAAGCTCACATAGAAGGATCGACTGACTTGCTCTTTTCTTGGTACTGGGGTTAGAATGGGGAAGGCTTGTGTGAAATGCACTTCTGTGCCATGGAGATTATTGTATTCCATCTAAATCATGGACTTGAGAGTGTTTTCTTTGAATGTTTCGTCAGATTCATTTTTTATTTACTTTATTCTTTATTTTAATACCATTGTGCACCCACCATTCTCTACAGGACCAAATTCATGTGCCATTTGAAAATGAGGTGAACTCTTTCACTCCTTTATGAAAGAGTCTATCTAACATGCAGCCGCTTCCCTTAGAGAACGTATTTGAAAAGAAGAGAAATAAAAGTGTCTGGTAGCATTTCTGACTCAAGTTTGGAGAGAAAACTGGAATCGAAATACAGATGTTGACGTCATCTGCACAGTTAAAGCCATAAGTGTCCATCTTTATTCCCCTCTAAGAGAGAGCAGAGAATGACATTGTGTCTTCAGTTTCCTTTTACAGTGGAACCACACTGTGGCCTAAGCCCATTGGCTTTGGCAACTTCCAATTTTTATTTTATTAGTTTTACTGTTGTCAGAATCACTTACAACTTTTTATAACCCATCTCAAGGACATTCTTCATCCAGCCCCTTTGACCTTTCCACAGCATTTCACAGAGACAACTGGTCATTCTCTTTTGAAACCTTCTTCCCTCACTTCCATGGCATCATGCCTTGATTTTCTTTCTTCCCATCTCTTGGTTGTTTCTTCTCGGGAAACTCCAGAGGCTGTCCTGGGCCCACACTTCTTTCTGGTCCTTTCTCTAGACAGCCCCTGGCTCCCAATGCTGCTGAGACACTGAATACTCTCTGATTAATCTTTCCAGTGATTACTCTCAGTTCCATCTCTCTCCCCCTGAGATGGGGACTGGACCCAGCTGCTTATTTGACATCTCACCTTAAAGGCCTAACAGGTGTCTCACACTTAACATTCACACATGGAGCTCTTGATATGTTTGCCTTCTGTCCCAATCAGTGGTATAAACATCCACCTAAGTTGGTCAAGCCACAGGTGTACGATTTAGCCTAGATCCTTCTCCAATCTCCTTCATTGGCTGAGCCTCTTCTCTCCATCTGTGTTGCTGCCTTGCAAATCCAAGATACCACATGGCCCTCAGATCACTTCAGTAGGGTTTTGGGGTGTCTAAGGTTTTTTATGGAGATAAGATCTCACTGTGTTGCCCAGACTGGTCTTGATCTCCTGACTTCAAGCAGTCCTCATGCCTTGACTTCCCAAAGCACTAGGATTACAGGTGTGAGCCACCATGCCTGGCCTGCAATAGGTCTTTAATTGACCATCACATTTGCACTCTTCAAACCCATAATCTCCACAAAGTGAAAGTGATTGAGTCACCTTGCTTCAGCTCTTCAGTGATTGTTCCCATTGTACTCACAATAAAATCCAACTCCTTACACTCAGGGCTAGACCATCCCCTGGCCCTGGGCCTCTAGTAGCTGGTGAAGTCGGGACAAGGCTACAGCATCTATACACACAGAACTTCCATGTGTGATCTCTTTCCTGTCCCTTTCTCCTTGGTGGCAGTACTGTCCTTAGCAAGGTGTTTGTGACGAGGCTCAAACTGCAAGGTCTGGAGCTTCAGCACACTTGACCCCATTGCAGCTACCCAACCTCCTCGTCATTAGCTGTCTCTTTGTGACTGTAAGTGATTCTTGGAGGGTCCCAGCATCATGTCACGCGCCCTCTGTAAGCAGTCACCTTCCATCCCCTGTAGTGGTTGTACATGACCTTCCTCTCCCCGTCTTACCTCTCAGTGGGTAGAATATAGCTGCAACCTGAGCATCTCACAATCCTCAACCCTGCACCTGCACACCCTGGACTTTTTCCCTCTGCCCATGTGTGCCCATGGCATTGCTGCACCCATGCCCCAATTTGGCCCCAGTGATCTCTACCTAGACCACTGTAGTAGCCCACTGGGCGGCTCGTCTTCAGTCCAGGTTAGGGCTGCAGCAGGACTTTAGAAGGATATCCTAGATTTCCACCTCGAGTCTCTTCTTCCCAACACATGTTCTAAACTACCAGTTCAGTCTTCCTGAGGCAAATTCTAGTTCTTTCTTTCCTTGAATGGCTCCTCATTGCCCATAGAATGAAGACCAGTCTCCTTATTCTCCCAGGCCTTCCAGGATCTGGTCTCGACTTCCCTTCTAAGTGTTCTTCTCTGTCAGACGCTGTGTTCTAGCCCAAATGAGTTTCTTTTTCTGTTTTCCACCCGGGATGTCCCACCTCATCTTCCAATCTATCTTCAGACCTTCCCTGGACAGGAAGACCAGCCTAAGGTCACATACCCCAGGAGGCCTTTCCTGAATGTCTGCTGGAGACAAGAGTTGGACTGCCTGCCTTGTCTCTCAGCATCAGGTGCCAATGGGCTTGTGTCCTGTGACCTATCCCTCTAGGCATGGCTATTGGACCTGGAGTGTGGCCAGGGGATGGGACCCAGCAGTTCTTGGCTCCTTCCTTTTTCTGGGATTGACTAAGAACCCAGAGGGGCGAGAATGGCTGAATGGTCCTGAGGTACATGCAGGGCCTGTGCCCTGGCCAGGCCACCTGTGGGCCAGGTAGAAGAGAACAGAAAGGATGCAAAAGCAGAGGAACCCCAGTTGTGGGTCAGAAAGGAGTAGACTGGGCGTTAGTGGGGTCACATTCATGGCACAGCATTAAAGTGAAACCTACATACTCTTGACATGTCATCCAAGAGCCATCCTGAGCCCAAAACCGGCAGTCCTAGCTTCTGTACCTTCGATGCGTCCTGTATCCTGTCCTTGGGTTCCCATAATTCCCATCTCCCTTATTGCCTCACATATCCTTATCAATAAGCAAAAGGAACAGATTAAACAACCCTCCAGCTGGGGGTTCTTGATCTTTCGTTGATACCTCCCTCTCCATATTTGGTGGTATACCATGCCTCTTCAACTAAATTTAAAACCCCAAAGGTCAGCTGGGCTCAGTGGCTCAGCCTGTAATCCCGTGCGTTTGGGAGGCTGAGGTGAGTGGATTGCCTGAGCCCGCGGGTTCGAGACCCGCCTGGGCAACTTGGCGAGACCTCATCTCTACAATAAGTCAAAAATTAACCAGGTGTGGTAGCGTGCGCCTGTTGTTCCAGCTACTTAGAAGGCTGAGGAAGAAGGGTCACCGGAGCCCCGCAGGTCAAGGCTGCAGTGGCCGGGAGCGGCCACTGCACTCCAGTCTGGGTGACAGAGTGAGACTCCAACTAAAAAACAAAAACAAAAACAAAAAAACCCCAAAGGTCGAGGACTGTGTTGTCATTATCTCAGCACCCCCAGGGCTTGGCCGTATGCCTGCCTCGTGGTAGGTACTCAATGGGAAGTTCATTGAATGATTGAGTAAACACATACCCAGAAAATCAATCGAATCCAGCTGGTTTTTGCATTTTTCTACATAGACTGCTTACTCCATGGTCAGTTATTTTCTGTTGTGAAAGCTAAGAAAAGCATGGTTCATACACGTGCACACATACTCCCACACAAGTACTTGAATGACACTTTCTCTAAGAAGCAGGAAGCCGAAGGAGGTAAGTCATTCAGGTAGCTTTTTCTTACAGTTAATTAATTTATTTAGTCTATTACATCTCTGCCTCCTTAGATAACCATAACCAGGAACTAGCTAAGAACCATTTCTTCCTTTTTTTTTTTTTTTTTTAAAGAGACATGATCTCACTGTGTCACCCAGGTGGAATGATCATAGCTCACTACAGCCTCCATAGCTCAAGCAATCCTACTGCTTTAGTCTCCTGAGTAGCTGGGACTACAGGCACACACCACCACACCCAGCTAATGTTTTTATTTTTTGTAGAGACTGGTCTCCCTTTGTTGCCCAGGCTGGTCTAGAACTCCTGGCCTCAAGCAATCCTCCTACCTCAGCCTCCCAAAGTACTGAGATTACAGACATGAACCACTGCACCTGGTGCTCATTTCTTCTTTTTTATAATCTTCATTTACATGCCAGCTTTAAAAAATTCAGACATTTTGCTAACTTTTAGGTTACCCTACTTCATGTATGATTCCTTGTCTCAGTAGGCAATAACAATGGACCATTTTATACATTTCAAGTTTTCCTACTGGTTGGAAGGACGAGCCATCTGTAGATGAGTAAGTGATGGTCTTGGCCACTATTTACTTCTGTTCTATGAAGCCAATATAACCTTGAGTTTATAAATTATATATCAGATGTTTATTCTTAAACTGGTCACATTTAGTCCACTTATTTTTTTTTTAATTGATTCATGGGAAGAAAAAAAATCAAACATGCAATA